ACATAAACTCGACTCGATTTAAACTCGACTCGGCTTATCTGACTCGTGAGTTGACTCGACTCGTCCGGAACTCTATATTCAGATTTAGCATAAATCAATTTTATTTTTTCTAGCTGTTTTTTTCTTTTTCTATTGCACAAGTTCTATATAATCAAAATTTTTCTTAGCATTTATTTTTGAAAACTGAAATTTTATCATATGATTTTATTTTTTTTTACATAAATTAATGTATTTTTTATATAATAGAAAATTATTTTTTTGTTTTTCTAATCCAAGTTATGTGATCTTATTTATAAATAGAATAATCTATAACATATAATGATGTTCATCAGTTTTGATATAATCTTAACTTTTTGATAAATATTTTATTACAGATTTTTCAAATACAATGTAAAGTTTCTATCAAAAAAAATAATCAAAGATTAACAAATCATATAGATATAATTAAAGTAAATGAGATACTTTACTTTCATACGTAGTAAAGATATTATAAATTTTTCTATAGCTGATAAATAATAAATTAATATAGGTAGTTTAACCTTTTGTAATAAACCTAAATGCTAAATACCTTTTATATCTCTAGTCCAATTTATATATATAGTAATATGTATTTATGCTTTCAATTGTATAAAATTTGATTGGAAGTTTTCAATCCAAATAAATTTATTAAAGAATTTTGCTTTCAACCCTTTTAAAAGTACTTTTAAGAATGCTTTCAATCTTCCAAATATATATCACTGATTATGAGGATTCTTTGCTAATACTTAGCATAGGAACTAAGAATAAGTTGATATATCAAATAAAAGATAATATTATAAATTCACTAACCTCAGTAATTTTGTCTATTAATTTATAAATAGTTTATCTTGTTCAAATTCCAAATCACTTAAATTTACATTACTTTTAAAATCTTTAATCATCTCATTCCATTCATCATCTGTAAACAAAAATTTATTAAATATTACTGAATAAAAATAAACAAAATATTTATTTTTAAATTTTATTTTTATTTATTATTTTTTTATTTTTTTTTTAGCAAAAAATTATTTTTTTCTATATTTTAAAAGAAAATAAATATTATATTATTATATTTAATAAGTAAATACTATTAGTTATTATAATTTTATTTATAGAAATAAGTTTTATTAATTCTTTCTTTATATTAGGATCTTTTCTTAAAATTATTAATGTTATTTATACTAAAAAACAAAATTGTGATAGATTTTTATTGAATCTTTACTATTGTAGTTTTATAATCATTTGTTTATTTGATTATCAAATAAAAAGTAAATTTGGATATGTAGAAGTATCAAATAGTTGTTGATTATATAAATCATAATAATTTTATTAAATTTATAGAAATATATAATATTACTACAATAGTTATCAAAAATTTTTAGAAGTTATACTCTTCTAGAATTTATGAAAAAGAATTCTATTAAGCACCTTTTAAATCTAAACAAGATATATTTTAATTAAGACAATGGATTTTCATTATAAATACAAATATAAACCACTTTTTGATATCACAAATTCGATATAGATTGGTTTAATCAGTTTTTAAATAAATAGATGAATTATAAATTTATTTAAGAACAAGCTAAAGAAACAATAATTTAATATCAACAATTTCTCAAGATGAGCTATTATAAAACGTCTTTATTTCCTAAGGCTCCTTTTTATTAGTATGAATTCCATTTGTAAATCCAACTAATTCATGATCATCATCTGTAGACTTATAATTTGTGTTTATAAGAGGTTTTGTTGATTCCGGCCTTTCTTCGATTTCATCATCTGTACTATCATAATAATGAATATTTACATTACCAGCATATTGATCACTTTTTGATTTACTTTTATCTATAGTATTATTTGTGTTGTTAATATCATCATTTTTATTTTTTCCTTTATTATGAGTATTATTATTGTGAAGATTTTTAATTGCTGCATGTTTAATATCATTTGTCGTTGAAGTTATCGGAAATGCTGATCTATTACGATTACTACGTTTTGAAAGGAATGAATAATATAATCTAGGTCGTATTTGACGCGGTGGGAGGCGTACAACTTTGATTTTATTACGTACTGTCGATGAATATAAAATTTTATTTGAATTTACTTCAGCCTTTTTTTTTTTAAAAAAAAAAAAATTTAGAAAAAAAGTGAATAAATTACCGTCTACATAAACATCAGTTTCATCGATAATTTCCTCTCCAATTAATTCTTCAATAACATCTTCAAGTGTTACAACACCAAGTGCACCACCTTCATTACCACCTGGATCTTCCGAGACAAGTGCCATATGACCTATAATCGAAAAAACATAAATATAAATTATTCTGAAATATCCAAAAAATTGTCTCTTTTCAACTTACTTCTGCCTTCCTGGAAAAATTTCAAAATGTCTAAACAACTAGTATATGGATTAGTTTCAGGTAATGAACTTAGTTGAAAATCTCTGACCGACCAAGCATCTTCAGGGTCATAAGTAATCAATTTTTTAACAAGAAGCATGCCTATGAAATTAGTTGGATTAGGTGGTTCATATACAGGAATTCGAGAATAACCTCGCGAAAGAATCTGTGATAAGTAAAGTTATATCAGTATATGGAAACTAAGCCTTAATAAAGCATAAAACGAGAAAAAAATTAACACCTCATCTACAGTTTGTTCGTTCAAAACTTTATCCGCACTTAATGTAAAAACATCTTCAAGAGGTGTCATTATTGCTGATACAGGTTTTTCACGAAGATCCAGTACTGCACCAATAATTTGAACTTCGTCTTCATTTAAACTTTCAATTCCTCCATTTTTATGTAAAGATACAAAAGTTTTTAATTCTTAATAATGATGAATAGTTAATAACATAAATAATAAATTTTGTGTATAAAAGAAACGAAAAATATTTAGTAAATGATCTTATTTTGTGTCCTTCAAACAGTTCATCATATTAAATTCATACCTGACTTCCGATACATAGTGCCATGTTGCTCGCCAAGACAAAAGTCCAAGATACCAGCAATAGGATACGCTACTGGGAACAAAACATACATCAAAAATAAGACGAACCTAATTTTTTTTTTTTAACTTATTAATTAGTGATGTTAATATTGAGATATTTTTAATATTTTAAATATAATTACCACGAAAAATCGGCCCCAATTGCTAATCCATGACGCACGCATATAGCTATTATTAAAAAGAGAATACTTTTTTTTTTAAAAAAAAGAAAACAAATAATAGTAACAGTAATAGAAGAAAATAAAAATAATCACCTTGTGGGATAATTCTGTTATTTAAATGTAATAGCCCCCATTTAAAACAAAATTAATGATAAAAATTTAATATATTATTTACAATAAAATTTTCACATAATCATACATACTCTCCGAACATAACAATCAGTGCAGTAGAAATCAACACGGCAGGCCATCCGCCACCAAATACAGAATCAAAGATGATCGGCAAAGTTTCATTGACAATAACATTTGAAAGCAATAAAGTAACCAACACCCAATGCTTTCCTTTTTGTAAAAGGTCCAATACTTTTTTAGCGTGTCTTCTTTCATTATGTTCCCCTGCTACCATCAATACTTGTAAATTAGTCTCATCCAAACCCATAAGTCCAATTGTAAGACCTTTGAAGATCAATGATATTTTAGAACTATTGACACTAGGAGAAGAAGTCAATAACTGTGATGTACAAGCCAAACTTACCAGCAAAGATTCCACCTAATAGCACCAACATTACAATTGCTCCTAATTTCCACCCAAAATCTTCCAAATTTATACTCTCGTTATCATCATCAATTGGTACATTTGGTATACTTGGTAAATCAAATAATGGACCTGTTCCATATTTTTTATTTTTAATCGATATCGAAAAAACATCAGTTGTTGGAAGACCGTGTAATGAATGAAGAATAGAGGCAAATATTGTGATACTATGAAGGAACCTATATGATACTCTAAACCTCAAACCTCTGAGCATTGAAATTTTAAGAAA